AAGGATATCATTTTCTCACATTTTATAATTGGATCAACCCAATGACAATTTTAAGAATTCCCTTCATGAATTCAATTTATATCATTCAATTTATATCCTGAAATAAAGCTATAAAAGTCTTTTATAAGTCACAAAATAAGAGAGACTAATTATGTCACAAAATAAGAGAGACAAGAGAGACTAATTAATAGAGGGGGCAACCTTCTAGCCTTCTAGAAAATCATGCCAATATCAAAATCATTTAAATCCAACTTTCATTAAAATCTTTTCATTTCGCACAAACATGAAATTATCCATATAGAACGACATAAATATTTATAACCAGAGACCACAGAGAGGGATAGCTATCAACCCAACTTATTCCACGAAGAGATCAACAGGTAAGACTCTCGAGTAAAGCAAAAAAGAGGGTAGGGGCAAACGGGTTAGACCAGGAGAGGGAACAGGGCTCACGGGTAAGACCAGAATACGCACAACCAAGCTCCAACTAGCTCAATGGTAGGAGCCAAAACAAGCCAAACCAAACCCTATATAAGAAGCTCACGGCCACAGATGGCAGCGAGGAACCCAACACAACACAAACCCATGGATAGGGGCAAAGAAGAAGGTCCCAAAGGCAGCATAAAGGAACCAACATAAGTACTACCATTGCATTATATTTGACATACATAAGAGATTGAATGGACAAGCTATTATACATCATTGAGATCGAACCCATTTTCATCCCATAAGGCATAATAATGCTCAAACTAAACATTCTCACATGCGATAGGTATCGAAATTCATGCATTTTTGGATGACAAACTTGATTACCAATAAAAATCTTAGGAGGAGGAGCATTAAAGAGGAGGCCCCAACCAAACCATACCCAATAAAGGGGTCAAACCAAGCTCGAGGAATGGACCAATCAGTAAGAGATTTCAGCCAACATAAATCACCAAAAAGGAGCCCAAACAGAGCCCAAGAAAAGGGCAAACCGAGCCCAGCACAGGGGTCAAACCGAGTCCAAGAAATGGTCCGAACAGTAAGGGATTTCAACCAACATAAATAACCAAAAAGGAGCCCAAACCGAGCCCAAGAAAGGGGCAAACCGAGCCCAGCACAGGGGGCAAATCAAATCCAAGAAATGGTCCAAACAGTAAGGGATTTCAGCCAACATAAATCACCAAAAAGGAGCCCAAACGCAGCCCAAGAAAGGGGCAAACCGAGCCCAACACAGGGGGCAAACCAAGTCCAAGAAATGGTCCAAACAGTAAGGGATTTCAGCCAACATAAATCACCAAAAAGATTCCCAAACCGAGCCCAAGAAAGGGGCAAACCGAGCCCAACACAGGGGAAAAACCGAACCTTATAAAAGGTAAAATTCAGACCAAGTCTACCATAAAAAGAAGTTTTCAAAGGAGCCAAAACCGAAATCCATAAAGGCTCAACATAAAGAAATTTTCCAGCACATATTCAATCTCCTAAGGAGCCAAAAAAAAACGTGGCCTATAAAGGCTTAAAGCAAAGGAAACTTCCAACTTATATGCAGTCCCAAATGAGCCAAAAACCGTGGCGGACATAAGGGAAAAAACAGATATAATTTCAGCTGAACCGAGCCTAGCTTCAGGCCAAACCGAATCTAGCCAAAGGGAGCAAAAACAGATAAACATTCCAAGTAGATCGAACTCATCAAATGGGTCAAATGGGTCAAAACAAAGCCATAAAAATCAGATTTCATAAAGCCTTAGACTACCCCAGTTTCTTGCATCCCAGCATATGTTTTAAGCAGGAATTGATAACAAGAAATAGATAAGTGTAATGAATCCCTAAAGCCAAATATTTCTCGGTATTGAAATGAATTCCAACACTTCCTTAATTCGAAAATAACAATAATAAAAAACTTCAGCATTTCATTTCCAACATGTATTCTAATAAGGGGCAGCAAGAGAAGCAAGAAAAGAGCCCCAAACATAATCTTCCAACTCATAAAAAAAAATTCCAGCATGTATTCTAACAAGGGGCAGCAAGAGAAGCAAGAAATGAGTCCCAAACATACTTTTCCAACTCATAAAAAAAATTCCAGCTTGTATCAATACCTAGACTTCAAAATAAACTAGGTCATTCCTCCATTAACCTTTGCAAGAGGATAGAGATGCCTCAATGTGCCGTCCTAGATAAATAGAATAGAGAGAATGAGAAAAATACATCTTTTCAGCAGATTTAAAATAAAATTGAAAGATAATTCCAAGAAAACCACTCCAAGAGAAATATTTTCCCTAAAAACTTCAAGAAACGGCAACCACGAATGCTCCACGTCACAATCACCCGAAAATATAGCTTAGAGAGGACTTTCAGCAAAAAAACAGCACTCCACGAACGAACACCTCACACTCCAAGCGCACAAGAAAACAGATCTAAAGAAGATTTAAGAATAGTTTTCTTCCCTAAAAGCCTCCCACAACAAAACACAACCTCTCCTTTCTCTCCAAAAGTTTTCAACAACTCAACAACCCAACACAGAATCTAAGAAGCTTTTTATGGGCAGAGAAGAGGGGGGAAGAATCAGCCACCAACCACCGCTTCATGGCCGAATAGAACAAGAGGGACAGAATCGACAAAATAAAGAGGGAGAGCGTACAACCTCGAGGAGGAGAAGCGTCGGCCAGCTCACCTCCTCGCGGTTGGAGAGCCGAAAAGTTGAACGGGAAAGGAAAGCCGCGTGGATCCACCGTGGAACTAGGGCACACGGACGAGAGGGAGACGAGCCGCGGGATCGAGCCCTGAGATGGCTCGAACGAGGGTTTAAGCGTGCGGGTGAAAACCTAAATAGGGTTTAGGTTTTAATTAGATTATAATTAATGATAAAATTATATAAATATCAAAAATTTTGAAAAATAAAATTTGATTTATGTCTTTCATTCGTGTGTTGAAACATAACAAAATTGATATCATTTTTGGGTAATTCTGACATTACGGACGCGCTGGAGCGGTCTATTTCTCCGTCGAAGGTCGTTATGACGCCGTCGGAAGTCGTTTTGACGAATTCATCGATTTGCGTGCAAATTTTCTCGTGTTGGAAATATGACAATATAGGTGTCCTTTCCTACTAAAATTGGTATCTCGGACGCGTTGGCGCAGTCCAATTTGTCATCGGATGTCGTTTGGAGAAGTTTGCATTTTCACCCATCCTTTGGGCTTAATTGAAGTCCTATCTCATGTGAATTAATGAATTTTGTGCATTTGGTGTGTGTGTGTGTAACGATAAAGTCGTGAGAAGGTTTTCCTAGGGCTTGAGGTCCTATTGAGAACTTCTCCTTAAGTCTCCACACAATGACCCTTAACCGCTCGTCCATAAGACGATTTTGATACCATAAATGCAACACATCACAGGAAAATAGGAAGTGTTTTGAAATTTTTAAGGGGACAGGTTTCAATGCTGGTTTTCTAAGATAGTCAATAGGGAACTCCTAGAGCTAGATCCTAGACTCTAGGAAGAAGGAAAGACCTCACAAAAATGAGGTCAACAAAAATATAATAAATCAATATCATTATATTCTTAAAAGGAGAAAATTTATGAACATAATTAACTTTAACTAATATAATCAAAATAGAATAGAAGGAAATTAGAATTTCTGATTTTCTAAATAAAATTTAGAGGAACTTATATAACACCTAAAGATTTAATGAAAATTGAACAAATGATATCATCAAATCACACAAGCTCTTAAATCAAATTTCTCCTCTGGTTTGCCATAACTCTAGGATTTAGCAAAATCCCGTTGAGCGAGATTACGGGATTCGGGAGAGCTGATGCACGTGAGAGAGAGGAAGGCGAGGGTTACCTTCCTCGATGGTTTCGAGTAGGAGCTGAAGGAAGGGAAAGGAAGGTATGACGCGAACCCGTTGTTGCCTTCACCATTAGCTCCAAGCACGAATGTACCGCAAAGGTTTCAGGAGACAGTTTTGGATGGAACAGAAAGGAGGGGAGGAGATTGCCTACCTAGCTTGATTGACAGAGAGAGAGCAAGAGAGGGAGCTGCTACGGATCAGAGGACTACAACCCCACAGAATAGGCGGTGTGATCTAACGATTCAGGAAGTCGGTAGAAGAATGCAAGAAGAAGAAAAGGAAGTATTCGTAAAATTCAAATAAGGAAATCGGTAAGGCGGCGAGCAAAGAAGGAAAGGAAAAATTTTGCATAAAATTTTGGTATTTACAAAACCCTCAATGAACTTGCCAAGTCATTGGAGAACTCATTGAGAAAATGTAAATTTTGTCAAAACTCAAGTCTGCTCACTCAAGATTATGTATATTCACCCAGGATCAAGAACTACTTGTCAATCGGATGACCTCCTCAAGGGAGACTGGTGCGACTATTTCTCAACAAGTCAACTGCAAGTTGGAGTACTCAATTCTAATAAAATCAAGCCACATACCTCATAAATTTTTAGCAAATAACAAATGAGCCATGATAGTGCTTCGTAATTAATGCAATTCAATATGTCGAATTTCTTTTAGCACTCATATATCAATCCAAGCCTATAAATAAGTGGCTGAGCCTAGGGTTACGCATTTTCACATAACTTCACAAATTTTTTTATAATTGAAACTCGTTATTATAAAATCCCAGATTTTCTGGTTCTACATCCCATCTTAATTTCCCTCCTTTTTGCATTGTATGCACTAGTAAGATTCTAGTATAACCAACTGACAATTTTGGATCCAACAGGACCTACAACAACTTTACTTCATATCTCTTTAATCAAACGCAACAAAATATCTCAATAATGAACACAGCATCTGCGATCAGATCATCACACAGAATTATGTAAGGATCGCTCCAAACACGAATTAGCTTGCATGCATTATACGACAGAGTCAGCAATTCAGCCACAGATCTCGTAACGAAACAAACATACGTTGATGCTATAGCTTATTTTACCAATTTGCTACACGAGTAATGAACAAATAACAGAATAAAACAACAAGGAATAGTGAAGAGAAGGAAGCCGAGAAACCTAAATTCATTGCATTGAGGGCTTTAGGGCGATCGAGGGTGATGACAGCGACGCCATTGGGGAAGATAGTTCCCTTGACGAAATCTTCTGCATCGTTTGCCATGAAAGAGAGAGATGGGGGTGAATAGCAGCGTCTTGGGGTGAATGAGCAGGGGCTTAAAGGACGAAGGATTGTCCAAGGAGTGTATCCAAGATGTGCGAGCGGCGTCAATAACTTGAGCGACCGGGAAACAATCTTCATGTTGACTCACGGGGACATTGGTTTTCGTTCCCGCGAATGGTGTGCGGTTGGAAGAGAACCAAATATGTAATTAGGCTAATCACACTTCTAACTTGAGCTATTGCACAATTTTTTTTATTACTCTTGGTCCAAGTCCCTTGAATCTTAATTTGTCAAATATGTAATTAGGCTAATCACACTTCTAATTTGAGCTATTGCACAATTTTTTATTACTCTTGGTTCAAGTTCCTTGAATCTTAATTTGTCTTTGACACGTAATGAATAGAGCCTAAAACAGACTAAGAGAGTCTGTGTGCATAGTAATGAAGAGTAAAATGAGAGAATTACATAATATTTTATTTATGAAATTGGTGAAGTTATGTTTATGCCCCTACTTAATTTTGGATTGTGCTAGTTATGATAGATATTTCACTCTTCTAGGCGAAGGCCTTATTGCTCTCGGGCTTGGCCAGCTTGGTTTGGTAAGACTTTGTCGAGCTTTGCTGGTCAATTAGATTTGGTAGGCGTTGTTGATCGACTGTGTTATTAAAATATTGGAGGATGTACAGTTGGGGAACAAGTGACTCGGTTTATGTTGTCGGAGGAAATGCTAGACTCATAGACGCTATCGGTTGGCTTGTCTTCTACTGGCTAGAAGCCGATAGAACTAGTCGGCTATTTCTTGACTAGTTGTGAAGTTGGCATAATGGTCGTCAGCCCTTGATACTCGTTGGAGAGCTCTCATTGACAGAACGAACATGGGTTGCCAGACAGAGGGTAATTCATCGTAATCTGATAGTTAGTTTGTCCTTAGATTAAGAGATTTTAGGGGGAAGTTATAGGTCGTCCCTAATGTAGTCATAAGATCTGAAGGATTGGTCACTTCCTTGGGCTTGATTGCATTGAAGTGCTAGGTTTGGAAAATCATTTGTCATGTGATTGGGTGAGCTACCTGACCCGTGTGACATGCTAATTTTTATAAAAATTGGCTTTAAGTTTGGTTCATCTGGTCGGGTATCTAGAGTCCCCCAGGTCTTCTGTCGATGAGTCCACCTTTCATATTCCTTTTCTCTCCTGAACTGTCGGATCTCCTCGAGATTCATGTTGGCATAATTTTTTAATACATATTTAGTTCCTCAATTCTATTCTTGAAATCCGGGTTGTAATAATAACAAGAGAATTTAATGCACAATACTAAACTTCGTTTATGGCTATTCAATGATTCAATAATTTAATTTTTTAGATTGTGCCTTCAATTTCTATAAATAGGGCATGAGGGATTGGCTTTTGTATCTTCTCTGAACTCAATGTGTCACCATAATGAACAAATCTGCTTTGAAGTCCAATCTTTACAGCAAGGTAGCATGCTTTGAGGTCTTTAGAGAAATGAGAGGGGAATCCCTCCAAGAGGGTGAAAGAGCAAGAAATTGACGATGAGGAAGAGGAAGAGGCCTGATTTGGAGGATCAGGGTTGTCGGACTAGTTTCGGGACCACCCATGAGAAAAAGATGTGGGTGGAAGAAGGAGTTCGATCAGACGATCCAACAGTAGATCTATCAGCCATGCCCGCAAAAAATAAACTTTATCTACTGGTTATATCAGTCAAAAGCTATTAGTGCTTTCATGCAGTCCAATGCACAGGGGACTGCTGACACTAATCCGTTGTCGCTTGTGACACAAGTGAAGGTTGGTGAGGACGAGGCATCATTTATCGCATCTGAGTGGGATCAAATCCTTGGTATGATGAATTTCAATCTTGCTTAGCCTATTTCTATTACTTTTCTGACTTTTCTTTTTATTTTACTTTCTGGTGAAGCCCATCCGACTATTACAACCATAATCATTAATTCGCCCTCGACGGAGGTTGGTGTCGACTAGACCATGAACCTGTCAGTTGTGGATCAAAACCAGGTTGAGGACGGTTGACTTCCAGACGAGGCTGGAGATGCTAGGCATCCTACCGTCCTAGGGGAAGCAACCGACGAGTGTCAAATATCCACTAGATGGCAGGGGAAGCAGTTGCGCAAGGTGGAAGACTCATTTTCATGGGCGACTAGATTTTCGTAGGGCAAAGAGATGCATGGTCTGTTAGCACGAGTTAATAATGTAGATCGATTAGAGGGAGAGTTGGTCGTCCTCCATGCTTAGATGAATACCCTCCACATTGGGATGGTCGCCCATTGCCAGAAAAAAAAAGCTACACTTCCCATGGAGTAGGTGGTCATTAGTGAGGCATCCTCCGTCTTTCAGGTTCATGCAAATATAGAAAGGGTAGATATGTTTAGATTAGGGTGAGAGGTATTCTATAAAAGGATGCTTTGGCGAGGATATGTCTTGGCTAAATTTTATTAAGTTTTTTCCTCTCATAATAGTTGTCGAGTTGTATCTGTAACTATTTTTATGAAATAAAATTTATATTTTTGTATCGATTTATGTGTTCGACGTGACACGCTGCTTGGTTTTAAGGGGGGTAAATGACATCCTTGCCCACAATGTGCATTGTATATAAGATATACTGATGTGTTAAACTTCTTTACTCACTTTACGATTGAATTGGTAATTTGATTGTTAAAAATTTATTGCAACCTAGAAATTTCGAAATAAAATTTAACTAACGATTAGGTTAATTCACATTCTCGATGTTGAAAAGAAATATTGCTACCAAGGGAGAACGATCTTTTGAGGGTTGTAGAATTCCTAGGATTTTTGCATGATTTATTTTACAAAACTGTAATAGGAAACTCCCATAATTCTTATTAACTTGGAAAAGACTAATGAGTATTTTACCATGATTGTCAATAATATTGTTCAACTTTTGGATAATTTAAGGTTTAAAGAGATATACTAATTGAAACGAATATTGTGTCCAAAATTTAAAAACATAAACACATAAATCTTCAAATTTTATTGTACAGCTTACTTTAATTTAGAAGATTAAGCATAATAATTAGATAAATCTTTAAGCTTGTTTGACTGGTATTTAACCTAGTATAAGAATTAAAATAGTCTATGTGGGATTGATAACTCATATTATAATTTTCATACTACCTAATCGACACATGCACTTACATGAAGGTGTGTGTATATTCACATCACATCAAATTTATGATTAGGAATTTTTATTATAAGAATTTTTTTCTTTTCATTATCATTTTCATTCTTCTAGTGAACATATCATTAATTTATTTTTTGGAATTACATAGAAACCAATCTTCATGGGATAATATCTTTCACATGATTTTATTACTTGTGAAATTATGTAGTATTCTGTGTTACAAATCTTATACTGATATCCTATACAATAATCTTTTAATAGATGTATTTTTATTGTTATTATTATTATTATTATTATTATTATTATTATTATTATTATTATTATTATTATTATTATTATTATTACTACTACTACTACTACTACTATTTTATAAGAGGATATTTATCAATATTATTTATCACAATACTTTGCAAAGGATTTTATATTTTATTTGGGAGACTTCCATTCATTTTTGTAACTTCCTAAATATTTTAGCTTCCTCTAAGTATTAAGATAGATTTGTTAATTTTTTTATGGGCGGAGAATAATTTCATAACATGAAGCCCTATGAAAACCTAAGGGTGAAAGACTTCATGGGAGATTATTTATAAAAAAAAGGTTCAAGATATTGTAAATATTTTATAGATAATGAGTGATAAAGCCTAATGGGCTCTTTCACTTATATCCATAATTTATAATGAATTATAAAAGGTAAAGCCTTATTTATATATTTTTCTTGATATATGATCTTTGTAATTTTTCAAAACATTCTTATTGTCTTGAGTGTCTCATTAAAAAGTTCTTGAATTTTAATATTGTGAATCAATAGCTTTTTTTATATCACATACCCAATTTTAACATATAGGCACAACTAATGAGGAATCCAAATAGGGCATAGTCTACATAATGAACAAGGTGAAGTGGAACTATATTTTATTTATTATGTGTGCAGAGTGCGCATCTTACTCCTTAGAAATCATATAGTCTTATTAAGGAAATAGTACCCATGACAAATTTGAATTTATTAATGTTTGTATTTGAAGACATGTTTATTAGATGGCATGATGCTCTCCCTCTTTTAATATGTATATATATATATGTGTGTGTGTGTGTGTGTGTGTGTGTGTGAGAATACATATAATTTGTGT